CCTACAACCAACCTACAATCGTGAATGCCTAACATCCTGCCAGACACTTAGTAAACTTTTCTTTCTTGATTCATTCACTTATCATATATTAAGTACCTGCTGTGTGCCAGTCATTGTGCTGCCTGTAATGTGCTGCCCTCTGCTTAGTTATTACTGCTCAATATTGTCACCATCACCTAGAAGCTTTCTAGATAGGTAGACGGGCAGGCAGGCAGATAGACAGACAGACAGACAGACTGACTGATAGGGTAGATAGATAGTAGAAAGAAAAAGAAAGAGAGAGAGACAGGCAGCGCTAGGGGTGGGAGTGTGTGGGAGTGTGTGTGTGTGTGAGTGTGTGTGTGTGTGTGTGAGAGACAGAGAAAGAGAGAGAGAGAGAGAGAGAGAGAGAGAGAGAGAGAGAGAGAGAGAGAAAAGAAAAGAAGAAAAGAAAAAAAGGAAAGTACCTAGATATATAGATACATAGATGCATAGATAGATAAGCAGGCAGGTGGATGGCTTCATAAACATGTATTGCTCACATAAAACTTTCACCATTATTATGATTAATATCTTTTGTTATTTTAAAAGCAGCCTCAGAAATCCTTTTAAAGTTCATTTTAAACAAAATTTAAGATTTTAGCTATTTAATCACTAAAACTGAAATACTGCATTGATTTGGAATTAGCAACTTAAAATCTTTTATTCTCAAAACCTGTAAAATAAGATTATATTTTGAAATAGACAGTTTTCTTTATCTCTCAACCTTTTAATTTCTCTTTTTACATTAAAGATCTTTTCTTTTTCCTGGATCATTTTATCCCATTTCCATAATCATTGTCCAGTTTTTGAAAACAATACTTATAACTGCACTACTATAGAAGTTCAGGGAGCCACACTGTGTGTCAGGGAAGGAAAGCATGATTTCAAAAGAAATACATCAAGCTGTGGACTGTGGCCAAGGCCTACTGAAAAGAGCCAAGTCACCCCTGGAGGGTTTGACTCACGCATTAATTGTGAAGTTCCCAGTTGCATTAAAACAGTCACTGACACACTCGTCCCAACAACGTCCTCATGGGTAGAAATTCTCAGTAGTCAAATGGTATTGGGAACATTTTAAATAAATTTCCTAAACAAAGATCTTATATATATCATATGTATTATATATGATAAAAGTATATATATGATAAAGAGAAATGAGATGTGACTTAAATGTAGGAAGTGCATACACTGTAATGAAATGAGAAGACTGTTTTTAGTTGGTCCTGTTTTGATCACATGAGTTTGTCAGTGTAACCAAATCTTTTCTTTAGGAAACGTGTTTTCTTTCATAAGTGCTCACCTAACAAACAAATCATGCACATACCTGAGTGAAATATGGCTCCAATCCATGAATATCTATGAAGATTCTGAATCACTCCAATTATATCTCAAAGAGTAGAATCTTGATTATAATATGGCCTCAGTGCTTGAGACAGTGACTGTTACATGGGTATATGGTGGGCTATTCAAGAGTAAAATCTTTGTTATGTTATGGGAGAAACTATATTTACATGTAACTTGACTGCAGCAATAGAGAGGAAGGTACTTAGGTTGCACAGATGGCATGGTGCAAACAGTTCTAAAAACATATTTGCAAATGATACTAGAGTTGGAAACTAAAATGGCATTGTGAATACACTTATAACTGTTATCATTTCCTGCCACAAAAAGAATTTTCTGTTCCTCAATGTTTATTCTCAAGAAGTTTCATATAATCCTTGTTTGTAAGGGATACTCTGTAACTCCACTTATTCCCCAAGTCACTTTGTTCTTGATGATTATAGCGTAAACAAAATACACTTTCACAGCATTTTAAATTGCCTCAAACCGTCGAGTTAGGTGTATGTCTAGAAAGATATGTGAGTTTTCTTTAGGATGTGTTTGTCTGTATGTTGGTCAAAATCAGCCAACAGCACGAGTGCCTGAAATGTTATTGAGCTTTGCACACGTGAAGTATTTGATACAAATGTGATCTTGGAGAATGTGATTTTAAGCAAATTGACAGCCTCAGAAATGCTATGTAAAGCTTTAATTTTGGAGACACTTTCAGTGTTGTTCCATAACATTGGATAGATTTTACTTTTTAAAATTCTAATAACCTTTTCTTCCTTCCCCTTGTTTGCCGATCCAGATTCACATCCAGAGAACTGAAGGATGTGACCATATGACCTGTTCACAATGTAACACTAATTTTTGTTATCGATGTGGGGAGAGATACCGCCAGCTCCGTTTCTTTGGAGACCACACGTCAAACCTCAGTATATTTGGATGCAAATATCGCTACCTCCCAGAGAGACCTCATCTAAGGAGATTAGTGCGAGGATCGGTCTGTGGTGAGTATCCAACTGACTTTGAGGACTCTTCCCTAGGAAGTAAGCAGTGATTACTAGAACTTGGAAATGTAATAGCCATGACAATTTCTGAGCACCTGCCAGGTATTCTTAGTGGGGCTTTTACCCCTAAACAGGAGGAAGATATTCTCTCTTCCTTTGGGTTTAAAATTTAAAATTTAAGCTTGTTAGCAGGACCTTATATGAGCAAGCAGATTTTGTTCAAAAACAAATTATTAATTATACTGCAGACATGTGAAGTCATTAGTCTTTTAACTTTCTGCAACTCTATTGTAAGCCACTTGATGAGAGAAAATGTATATTTATTTTTACATTGATATTTTCTATTCATTCATGGAGCATGTGTAGTACAATTAAAAATATCCATATGTTTCAGAACCCCCATAATAGAGTTCCGTTGTGTCTGTATAGTTGATAAGTCATTGTATATATTTTTTCTATTGTATTAATTTTAATACTAGTAGCTAACAGTTAACTAAATGAATATCAAATGCCCTCACTGCACATAAACCCAGGTTTAAATATCCAAGTGCAGTGCTTTTATGGATTGATATTTTTACCTCCCTCTTCATCCTCAGCAACAGTCTCATACATAAATATGCGGATATAAGCACAGATCCCTGCCCTGGCCGAAGGCCCCCACCTTTTTGGGATGAAGTGATCTCCTGACTTAATAGTTCTTCCAATAGCTCCCTACTCCTCTAGAATGTACCTACTGTAAGATTTCTTCCTCTCTTTTCATCATAAAGAATACCATTCTTTCTTTCTCTAGCAGTGTTTCCTATGCATATGCAATATTTTTTAACATCTTCCACATGTCCCCTTTTCTACCTACTTTTGCCTAGTTACTTCATGAAAATCTCTTTATATCTCTCTTTAGCCTTCCATCACTTCATTGTTATTGCAAACCACTTCCCTCTCTAGAATCATATGATGGTTTATCAGAACGAAGCTGGTGATCATGATAATAGCTCTTTCAGGTAAAAAGTAGAAACCAGTGCTGTCATTTTCTAATATCTGTATGATCTCCATAAAAATATCCTTACTGAACTTTAAACATAATTTTCCATAGCCAACAGCATTTAATAGAGTCAAGATTGGTTTTAATGATTTTCAGTGTTTTCCTGTTCATTTGTTTGATATGCTACATATTATAATTATATAACCAATATCTGCTTATTAGTTAAATAGACTTTAGAGGGATAGCTAGAGAATCTAGCCCCTATTTGTAACAGTACTACCATGAGAAAACTAACTCCAAATTAAGTTTTGAACTGTAACCTATTCATAAGTCTATACAGAGAACAACCGAAAAACACAAAGTCCTAAATTTTATGCATCGTTCTTTTCTTTCCTGTTTCAATGCCATTTTGTGGCAAGATGTTTCCTTCCATTTTTTATTTTAAATAATATTTTATTTGACCATTATTTTTTTCCTTTTTGTTTTCCTGTTTAGTCATTCTTAAATATGGGAAGTTGTTTCCTGTCCTTTTTGTCCAATAATATTTTGGATGCATTTTCTTTGGATCCTCTCGCCATTTATCTAGATGCCATTAGAGTCTTCCTCTCAGGTCATAAAAGTCGAGTTATGTAACAGCCTGTAGAATGGATGGCCCATAGACATGGCCCATAGACATTGTCAGCAGGGAAATATTTTCTCTGTAAGGTCTTTCTGTTTTTATTTTAAAAATATATGGTCAGCTTTCTATAAATGGTTTTCTTTTTGGCCTGTTTTTCTATTCAGTGTGTGTACACATGTGTGTCAGACAAACCTGACAAAGTAGGGAGCAGTTAGCTTTAAGATACGCTAGCCTTCCCACACATATTTTTTCACCTCCAGCATGGCTGCCTCTAACTCCTTTTGGACCATAACTCCCAGTGGAGTGATTCCCGCCTCTCTCATCTGCACATAAGGCCAGAAAAGGGGTTACTCTGTAAGTCACAAACTTACCTTCTTCTGCCATATAAGAGAGATGTTGGATTATAGCAAAGCCCTCCTGCTCTCTGTCCTTTTGTGATGCAACCCAGTTTGCTCCCTTAGTTTGGGACTGTGGCCACCAGATGTCCTTGGACAAAGGCAGAGAAAGGGCCTGCTCTTCTCTCACAGCTGGAAGATGGGAAACATGGTCTAAATTCCATGTGACCATGCGCCCAGCTACAGATTCTGCTCCCAGAGAATAAGAGAGGCCAGAGATTTAAAGCTGAACAGCAGCCTCTGACATGGAGACATCTCCCTAATAAGAAATAGGCAGATTTTCAATGAATGGTGTTTCAAATAAAAGTGACTGAGGAAAAATGCTTCATTTTCATTATTATTATTATTCCATGCAGTTATTCAAAATATTAAAGCATATAATAACAAAGAAAATAAAGGTCTTTAACTGATCTCTAAATGGCAAATACTTTATATGAACAAAAGCAATGGATACTCCTCCAATAATAAATATCCATTTAAAACAAAAAGACAAGTCTCAAGCCAGAATTGAAGAAATACAAATAGCCAATAAATGTGTTTTAAAATATCCAACATTATTAGTAGTCAGAGACACATAAGTTAAAATAGAATGCGATTTTTTTTGACCGTTGATTAGCAAATATTTTGTCAAGTTAATAATGCTGGACTTTTATACTCTACTAAGTGAATTAGAAATTTTGTGCAGTTCTTTTGCAAAGAAATTCTATAGTAATGTAAAGGGCAGTTTAAACCATAACATATCTAGGTAGGCTGACAATGGGTTATTTACAAATATAATTTAAAATAGCAAAAAAAAGGAACAAAAAATGAAGTGCGAGAATAAATATATAAACAAATATGATAAAATATTATTTCAGCCATCGAGAATGGCATTTTAAAAGAATCGTTAATCATCTAGGAATAAGAAAGTGTATGCTTTATCCCTAAAGACAGTTTTGAAAGTAGACTTAGACATGTATTGAACATAGATTATATGATTGAAATAAGTTTATTACTTCTCAAAGAGAGAAAGCACATATCTGGGTCTTTGAGTTCTGTAATGTTTGAAGAAAAAATTAGTGCTGTTACTTTGCAGTCATGTTTCATTGCTATTATAAAATTATATTGATAATTATTTAAAAAGGAAAGATAAATGTACATACTGAGCTATGTGTACAGGAAAAAAAAAGATTATTTATAAATATGGAAGCCAATATATTCTAAACACAGCATAGCTTTAAGAATGTATGAAATGTAATTGTTCAATAAGATTTAGTATTACTTAATTAAATTTTGTCATTGGTGAAAAATATAAACTCGGTTAGACATGCATCAATTGAATGGCAATCTTTTTAAGTTAGATATTAAAAACTGTGTTTTCCATCTGCCTGTTCATAGTTCCAAATGGTTACAAAGACCATTTCTTTTTTGTTGTTGTTGACTATATTCCCTATGTTGTACTCCCCATCCCCTTGACAATTTCGTAACTACTAATTTGTACTTCTTAATCCCTTCACCTTTTTGCAAAGATCATTTCTTAAGAATAAAAAAGTTAATATTTTTCTGACAAATTTCCAACAAATGGCTGCGTTATTACATAATTTTTTATGTAATTGGTTATTCTAATTACTGTTCTTAATTTGTAAAATTGTGTTACTGGTTCATTCTTTTTCAAAAAAAATTTTTAATTACAGCTGACATTCAATATTATATTAGTTTCAGATGTACAGCAGTAGTGATTGAACATTTATATATTTACAAAGTGATCTCGATAACTCTAGTACCCACCTGGCACCATACGAAATTATTACAATATTATCGACTATATTCCCTATGCTGTACTTTACATCCCCGTGACTCTTTGGTAACTGCCAATTTGTACTTCTTAATAACTTCACTTTTTTCACCCAGCCTGTCAACCCCCGACCGTCTTGCAACCATCAGTTTGTTCTCTGCCTCTCTGAGTCTGTTTCTGTTTTGTTTGTTCATTTGCTTTGTGTTTTCTTAAGCAGCTATGTGATTTTACTGCAAAGTCCCTCCATTCCTTTCTTATCTCTTGTTATGTGTGGGTTGTGCAGCTTCAGTGCTGTGCCACATGCCTTAAAATTAAGATTACTACATAACAACAAGATATTAACCACAAGCCTCTTTTTTTGTACTAGTGCCTTTCAAAGTTAGTGGGATTTCAGTTGTGAACTCTGTGCTGTTTGCATGTAACTAGAATTTTATAACCACTGCTCAGTTATTAATTTAGAGGGAGAAAGAAAAAAGGCTGGTTGATGCCATTTGCCATCCTTATCGGCATTTATAGCCTTCTTATAAGTGCTTCCTTTTTTATGTTAAAATGATTTACTTGAATAACCTTCAATATAGTGTATGTTTATTGGTAGTTTTCTCTATCAATAGTACTGAAATATCCCATTTGTAGTTCAGTTTATTAGGTGTTCATATTGTTAGTTTTCTGTGGACCCAGGAAGTAAATTCACTTTTTCAGATGTTGGTTTGGGCAGAAGCCCTCTATAGCACTTACTAGCTCTCCATAGTTAGTTCGTGAGCTAACTATATTTTTGAGACACGGCTCAGAATATGCCACTTCTTTCTTAATCTTTCAGAATACTGAAAATTGAAAATGGAAGAGATCTAAAGGAAAAGCACAAAGATGAATGGTCCTAGTAGAATAAAGTGATCCAGTAGCTCTGGTTTTTCTTGCTTCTAATCACTGCTCAATAAATGAGATTTATGTGACTAATGTGTCCAGTACTTCAATGAACTTACTAAACTTACATATGTGTATTAGTTTTGTACCTGATATATTTTTTAGAGAAATATTGCCTTAATTATAATCAGATTTTAAAAACATTGCTGAAATTGTTGGATAAATTCATTTTAAGTCTCTTTAAATGGTTTTACCTTTTTTTTTTCCCAGCTGGAAAATTATTTGTTGCACCTCTAATCCTGGTCTTGGGATTAGCACTAGGGGCCATAGCAGTTGTAATCGGTAAGAAACACTTAACATATCTGAGATTAGAATTCTTTGAGTGCCATGGAGAGAGTATGAACGTAAATGCAATAATGTGAGTCTGTTATTAAGTGGACATGATATCTGTTCCATGCTTGCTTTAGATAGGCAATTGGCATATCATTTCAGATTCAGAGGTGCATGTTTCATAGAGAATGTATATGTGTGAGACATTTTCAATCCATGGACACTTTGATCCATATGTCTTATAAATCATTATTAACCCCCTTTTGATACCAATATTAATAAAACTAGAATGTTAGTAATAGAGACTGGTGGACTAGAACCCAGATTTTTCAGGTGGAAGCATCAAAGAAAAAAAGATTCCAGTACACTTTGAGTGAAAGGGTGCCCTGGGTGAAAAAGACACCGATGTGTGTAGGAACATATACACAACATATACTTGAGTACTGACAAAAAGAAAATGTATCAATGATTTGTATAGTTTCAGCCACACAAGTATATTAAAATATATACTTTAAAGCAGTGGTTCTCAGGCTCTAGCATGCTTTAGAATAAACTGAAGAGCTGTTTAAAGCATGGGTTGGTGATTCCTCCTCACAGTTTCTGAATCAGGATAAGGACAAAGTCCATGGATTTCTAGTTCTAAAAAATTCCCAGGTAATGCTGATGCTGCTAGTCCAGAGACCACACATTGAGAACCATTGTTTTAGAGAATATTAAATTAAATGTTATAGATGTTATGCTTTGATGAGTGTTCCACATGGTAGATGGAATTTAATTTTTTTCCTTAATAAAAGTATTTTGCACATGTAAAGTTCTGTTTAGCAAGTAATTTGCATGTGTAGGATAGAATTATAAAGTAACTGATCTGTAAGTCTCTAAAATGACTTAGACTTTATGAAATAGATACTATTATTATTTGCATTTTACAATTGAGAAAATTAAAGCTTTCTAGGCCCTCATAAGTGGTAGAACTGGGAGTTGAACCTGATATTTGGCTCCACAGCCCATGCTGTTAAGTAATAGACAGCTGTGCCTGAAACTGAAGTGTGAATATTATAGTGTGCAAATGATATGACTAGAGATAATAAAGAAGACTTAAACCTAAGGTTTGACATTTTGATAGAAAACATTATTCAATTTTCAAACTGGTATCACAGAGACTGTTAAAAAGAAGAGAAAGCTAAAGAAAAATATTACAGAATGAAATTTTATAGAAGTAAATACATTTCATAGTATAGGTATCTTTCTTCATTTTCATGTATTGCTAAATAATGATTATTTGTAAATCATTTGCAAAATGGAAAATTTTCAGCTATATAAGCCTAAATGCCTCTCCTTCTAATTAGCTCTTTTTTTTTTTTTTAATCTCTAGGTTTATTTGTATTTCCTATCTATTGCCTTTGTAAAAAACAGAGAAAACGATCACGGACAGGTATGCACTGGTGAAACGCAGGTGATTTCATCTAACTAAACTGGTCCGTGAAGGAGTTATACAGAATGGTACACCATCTGAGAGTCACATCTTGAAAAACATGGAGAGGAACCTTTGCCATCTCATCTCACCGTGGTTCTTTACAAGCGACAAAGGCTAGCTCCGGTGCACTCCCAACATGGTATCCTGTCCTTTTCTTATACAGATTGCTGCTTTTAAAAAATGGTCACTTTCATACACTATAAACATCTGTATCATAACTCTGACCTTCTTAATGGGTCTTGGAAGAAAATATTTTAATTAAGAACCAGTTATCCTCAGAATTGTCTGAGCATGCCTCTCCTGAGCATTGCTTGGACTGTCTTTGAATCTGAACCCTCCTCCAGTCCATCTTATGAGACTTGGTGTGAATAGCTGAAGTCCCACCTGTACCAACCAAAAAGGCCAGTTTTTAAAAAATAAAGGCTCACCCACCGTATACCCCTGTTTTCATCTGTGGCCCAAGCAGTGTAATTCCTTCATTCTTCAGATGCTATAATTGTTAAAAATCTCAGTGCCCAAAAGGGAAATAATGAAACTAAATGAGAAGAATCATGAGTTACTGAAGTGTATGTGTAGGGGTGTGAATGTGTGTGTGTAAATATCTGTATTAAAACTTGACCCAATAACCTTGTGCTTGTCAAGTTCCATGCCTTTACACTATTTTCCCACATTTTCATAGACATATTTAAAGATGATGGTTCTTTTGTGGGCATAATTTGGTAACGTAGTAATAAAAGTCAGTGTAGACAATAGGCTCTTTCAATGTTGACCCATTTGTTTGGACTTCTTGCTATCTCTCTTTGTCTCAAACACACACACACACACAAACACACACAAACACACACACACAGAAATGTGTGCAATGTTACCCCAAAGATTATCAAACTTTATAAACTGACAAAACAGACTGATTTTAGGAAACTCGCAAGGCCTAAACATTCATTCTTTTCAGATTTCTTATATTTTGGCATACATAAAATGATACAAGAAAAAGGGATGCTTTACTATGTGTATAAACCCTTCAGGCAAATTAGTTAATTTAAATAGAAAGTTTGCTATAGAGAGAATTGCTTAAGCCTTAAAAACAAACAAACAAACAAAAAAGCAAAAAAAAAAAACCCTATTCGGCTAATTTTTTAACAAACTTGTAATTACAGATAATTCTGCTCTACATCCAGGTGTGATGTTATTTACTACCCTACCCTCTTACCTCTCCTCTTTCTTTCTCTCTCTTTTTAATTTGTCCTCAAGTTTTTTAGAAAAAAGTTTTTGAAGGACTTTTCTTATGTTTACTGCTCATATGCAAAATAATGTGCTTTATCTTCTCATGGAGGGGTAATTTGAAAACAAAACTTTTGTGTTCGTGGGTTTACCTAATATATAAACTGCTCTTGAAGATAGAAACAAAAAATAAAAATGAAGGAAATATTTTCAGGAATTTTTACCAAGCTGAGAAGTCTTTAAAAATAAGAAAAGGACAAGTAAACTTGTTTCCAAATCCTCATTATTAGCTATCTTCATAGATGTAGCATTTATTTGACAGCAACCTTGAGTGAATTGAAATAGATTATGTAATAAAACATGCATTAACATGGATAGTGTTTCTTGTTGGGCTGCAGAGAATAAGAACATTTATCATTTTTATTTGACCTACAAAGTCCATGATAGTGAGCTTTACTTGTGTGGATAACAAACCCACATACTTGCATTCTTTCTGAATACCACTCAAAATAGCTGTACTATAGATTCTGGACTGGACTACTTCCAGTTAGAGGAGGGTATGGTTCTGTAATGGCATATTTCTAAAGCATAAAATGATACAAGAAAAAAGGATGTGTTCTAGTTTCACAAAATCAACTTTCCATTCATCCATCCATATATCCATTCATTCAACAAATATTTATTCAGTGCCTATTCCACATGCTCTAGTATTGAAACTGAGAGAATGGGAAATTCTAGCCTAAATCCAAGTAATTCTGTCATAAAGTGCTTAATTTTTGTAAATTCGTCTTTCCCAGACATAGTTGTTAGTTTGATAATATGTGAATACGATGATTCTAAATCTAGTGGATATGTTTATGTATGCTATCATATGTATATATACATAATATTTCCACAGAAATATTATATATGTATATAAAATCCATGTGTTTATGTATAATATACATACATATATAATATTTCTATTGATGTACATGAATATATATGCCACAAACATATATACGAGCTGGCTAAATAATATACTCTCTGGTCTATTAGATGATTTATTTTCTTAGGTTATTGTATTTGTTGTCTTTGGCCTACTCAGGGATTTTTTTTCTTTCTTTGAATAACTTATCTTTGGGAGATATTTTTATATTATTTGGAAATGTTCCAGTTTTCAAATTACAAAGTGATATCTGTTTCATCAATGCTTAAGCTAGCATGCACTGTGTTGCACAGAATTTTTCTTTTTCTATAGCACAGATTTTTTTAAATTAATGTATGCATTTTTTTCTCTTTAAAAATTGCTGTATATTAGGCCTTTCCCCATTAGTGACTTCATTATTTGTGAATTTTTTTTAACTGTCATCAAGATCTTAAAAAGAGAAGAAAACAAAAAGGATTATTTATGTATTAGTGCCAACATTGAAGATAAAACCATAGTAACTTCTGGGACGAATTCTAAAAGCTAGAGAAAGAAGCATACACATAAAATAAATATCTATCCAACTCTGTCATTTTTATATGCTTTTATTGTAAATTTAATATATACTTATTTTTTAAAAAATCAAACCATATAGAATTAGAAGATACAAATTTCTCTGCTTAACCCACCCCTTATTTTCTAAGGGTAACCACCGTTAATGGTTTGGTATGTGTCCTTCTACACACTTTCTACAAATATACAAATAAGTGTTTGTGTGTATACATGTCTGTGTATGTCAGTTTAATATAAATAGAGGAATAATATTCTTACTGTCCTGTGACTATTTTTCATTTTATTATTTATTGGTAGACATCTTACCTTAACAGTTTAAATAGGTTTACCTCATTCTTTGCTAAAATACTACATATCCCATTGTGGGGCTATACTTTAATTTATTTAATTAGTCCTCTCTGGAGTGGACATTGAGATTCCTTTTGCTTCTCTAATATAAAGCATCAGTGAAGATCCTTTAGATATGTGGTTGTCACTTTGTGTTAACATTCCCATAAATTTTTTAATTTGGTTTTCATAAAATATTTGTAATAAAATTTTAATACAGTTTCAGTAAATGGGATCATAGAGATAGTATATTTGAGACTTTTATCTTAGAGAAAAAGAAAGACTATGTAGAAGTGCATAATTTTTAAAGAAAAGCATCTCTTGCAGGATAATTTTCCCCCTGTTTGATTAGCCAAATAAATACCTTGCCAAGATGTATACAAGAAAATTAATCTTATTCCAATAAAAATAAAATGTAATGAGATCTCTATAAGATATCTGAGAAAGAGGCATTGATATTTGGATTGCCTCGTTGTAAAACTTGAGGGATTAAATGAAATAGCCAAATTGATCATGTTTATCACATTTTTTTAACACTATCCATGTTCATGCATGTTGCTCCACAAAAGAACTTAAATATGCCATTGTGAAAAATAGGAAGCAATATGTTGGCAATTATGAATGACCACAATTATCTATAGAAAAATATATTAGACTGTATGTGAGGTTTGATGGTTTGTTGGGATGCTTTATAAATTGTAGAATAACATGAATCATTCATTTTACAGTGACTCCCAGCAATTCCCTTAGAACTTCTGTTTGTGGCATTAATAAGAGGAGAGGGGTCAAACTTTTTGGTACAAGCAACATCCTGTTGCCACCACCTTGATTTTCTGATAGGTGCTATTGTATCCTTAATGTAGAACAGACAGGAAAAGAATCAAAGATAATTAAACACCAGTCAGGTTACAACCTGATATCTGTAATTGTACTTTCTCTGCTGTGGTATCAGGATTCAGTGCTGCCTGTCAGGAGATTTCTTCCTCTGTGCCACCCCTATCTCTTGAGTCCTTAGGCCCCAGGTGAGCCTTTATCTTTCAGTCCTACCATTCAAATAGATGGCCTGTGGATCCCTTAAAATACTCTCAAATCACTGCAATCTCTCCCAGTCCCTGGTGGCCTTCCCCAACCTCATTTTTCTCTACTCCTCTGATACTCTAGCTCCTCTTCTAAAAGAGAGGAAAAGAGACAGGAGAGGGTGAAAACTCACTCTGGCATGTGCAAAGCATCAGCATTCCTTCTCGACCTTTGTCAAATTAGAGAGTACATCTGCCAACACTGATCCAGCTTCTTCCTCATTAAACAAATACAATTGTTTTTAACATTAGGCTTTTATCCCGCCTGTTAAATTCATAATTAAAAAAAGTGGCCTAAATAATATTAATTGGTGTACTTCATTAAGTACCAAAATTTTAAAAATTCATGCCAAAAGCCATTTTAGATTTTAATTTTACAAGCAAGCTGCACATATGCCTTAATGTGAGTCTTCCTATTGGATCATATGCTTATTCTTTCATATTTGTTGCACCTGAAATCTATCTCAATATTGAAAGTTAAGTTTTCCTGTGGTCAACTCTATTGTTTCGTGTTAATATCTATCATAAATATAGCCTTAAAACTCAGTAATGCACTTTAAAATATTTGTGCCATTTAACTAATTTGACAGAATTAAAGAAACTGATTACATATATTTTGAGGGAGACAGAATAAGTGTTAGTAAATATATGTCACCTCTTTAAATTTGGAAGGGAAGAGGGGTGGGATCTAAAACTGAAAATTTAAAACAAGTAAAATATACCTGAAAAAATGTAGCCAAGTTTCTGAAATTATAGTCATCCTAGAAATTGGTATCAGGAGCTCAAACATAGCTAGTAAATTAATAAACATTACCTAATAACCTAGTTGGAATGTTTGTTAAAAATATTTCTACCGTAAATTTTAACTGCATTTTTGTATTTTATGAAATCTATAAGAAATTCCATTGGCTAGAAACAAAGTAAATCAAAACTACCACCAATAGCCAGTTCGAGAGTATTTGTTTTTCAAATATTTGTGGCTTAATTATGACATTTTTCTCCTCCTATGGAAAATAAGTTCCAAAATCCCATTTTTAATATGTATATCACAATTTTTGCTTTAATAAAACTGAAATAATTTTACAGAAGCATTAAGATATGGTCAGAACAAAATCAGAGCTCCAAAATTTGGGGAGTATTCAAAATTGTGAAATGTTAGCTTTTGGATGCAAACCAATGATGCAAACCTTTAAAAAGAAATGCAATGGAACTCTTTTCTAACTGTGGTTTTAAGGATAGAGCTAGTACTCATTTAATAGCCAGTGGTGGGTAAGGCTTCTATCATACATCACTGTTGTGAGGCTGGAACTATAGTTGACTTTATCCAAATCCAAGAAGCAGGGAGTTCGTTTGGAGCATTAGCTGAAACCTTTCTATATCACATACCTTATAGATTCCTATGTATAGTGCCAATTTTAGAAGCATGTAATTACGTATATTTTAAACCTTATTCTTTTTTGACTAAAGAAATGACTATGTTGAGAATAACAATATGGTCTTAAAATGCAATAACTTATTTTTTTAAAACACACACAAAAGATTGCCACTGCTTTTTTTGTTTCCATTTCCTTTTAACTTATAAAAAAATTATTAGGTGTATTTAACTCTGCATCACTTAGATTATACAGACTTATTAGCATAGAAAATATTGTTTTAGGACTGTCTCACTTTTTTGTCTCTCTGTTACATCGTTAATATTAAATGGCTTTCTTCCCTTGTGAAGTGATACTTTCATACTTCAATAGCAAGTGGCTGTTTTCTTTTAGATTTTCTGGTTAATTTGCTCCTCCCCTCTTCAGTCTCCTTCCTATCTTGGCTAAATGTGGGATTAATTCTGTCTCACCATTAACTCTTTTGACTCTAATGAAATAAAATTCAAACTCTGAAAGAACTCCATAATTTAGCAATGGTAGTGGACATAATTTACCTTGGTTTATTTTATCTGTAAATTGAAATGTATTAGGAATACCTGGAACACTGTTCTCTACTTAATAGGAGTTGGAGATCTCTGCCAGCTCTCTGACAAGAAGTAAAATGAATGAGAACATGTCAATTGGATTACAGAGCCTAAGATACTCTGAATCCAAGCTTCAGAAATTGCTTCATGAATATTGTAAGGTCACCGTTGTGTTTGCACATTAGTTGGACAAAAAGCACTTGTGGACATTTATTCAATGTGATCCCAAGTCACTCATGGTTCATCCAAAATGGCCAAAGATATGATTTATGGTCTATGTTTCAGCAAAAAGTTTGACAGCTTGGACATGGCGCTAGATTTATATAGTGTTGTATTTGTATATAAAGACTCGACCATGGATTCATACCCTGTGAACATATTAGACTTTTAGATAATCTGAAGTAGATCATATTGACTATAACTGACATTAGCCTATCTAAAGAAACCATTTGTCATTTGCAAATATTCAACTTTTTCATTGATATGATTTCGATAAAAGCCACACTCAAGATATATTTAACATAGGTTTAGTACATGATTTAGGAAAGTTCAAGAGAGAGTCAAACAGGTGTTACAGGGCCCCGAAATTGCAAAAATCATGTCACTTCAGGTTCTTCCTTGTAGCTAGCAAACTGTGCTGTCAGTCATCGGTTCCCTACAAAGTTTTCAGGTATTCACCTTATGCCCCAGCTCGAGAAATAGTCTCAATAATCCAGTAAGTTCTTAAAATAACATTTTTCATTAACATATATATCCTTAGTGTTCAAATGTACTTTCATTGTTCCTTTCAAGTAAATACTACCTAATATTTGATATAAATATCATGTTACATGTTCCTTTATAAAGAAAATTCCAGATAAAGTATCATGATTTTTTTAGCAGCTGACTACAAACCCTCTTTCTAAGACCCATTTTTTTTTTTTTTTAAGTTCCATATGGTAATAGTTTACTTTGGATATTTGATCATTTGTATCATAATTAAAATTCTTTAGATGGCATTGAAAAAAGTAAATCAACCTTATAATTCATATGAAGCCTAGAACAATAATTGATATATATGTATACATATACGTATATTCATTTATCTTGACAAGGACAGTCTGTTATAGATTTTTAATATGAAAATTAATTGACAATCTTGTTGTTTGTGAAAGCGATTATTAAATAGTAAATTTTGAGAGGTCACAGAAATAATCTCGTGTAGAAGGAATACAAAAACAGTAGTGTTAAAGTTAAGGTATGTTAACACATTATTTATTAAGAGGCCACAACAGTTAGTTGTTTTCGTTCTATTTTAAATAAAATTGATTATAAGACATAGTCATGAGACAAATATATTTATGTGTATGTATATCTATTGCAAAACTGTGGGACAATTAAATTATTCACATTCTCTTTTTCACAAAGAGTAAATTGCTAAAAAGAAAAATGTTTGGATGTTTAATCTGTTACAACTGTATATTCAGAAATTACAGTTCTAAGGAGTAATTCTCATCTCTTATTAGAATTGTCAGAACATATCCCATTTTAATTAAATTCTCATGAACAATAGCAAATGAGAAGAGATTTTTTTTTAATTTTAAGATGAATGACTTTCATTAGTTTGTACCAGATCTTGTCCATCATTTTAGTATATTGCTTATTTTTCATTTTTTGTAAAATTCGTAGTCGTTTTCCAAATAATGTCATAATATTTGTATTTTTAAAATGAGCCTAGTTGAAAGAGATTTTCTTTACTCTTTCAATGATATTGGAAAATATTTATGTAATTTAATTTTTAAACGTTTTTTACATTTCCTTAGTCATATTATTAATTTTGGTATTCATAAAACTATGTAGAAGAAACCATTATGAATATATTTTAAGAAAGAAGCAGGTAGAAATAAATAAGAAAATAGATGATATTAGTATCATGTAGAAATCCCTGAAAGAAAATTGGAAATGAAAAAAAAATTCTGTTGAGATGAAGATGTTGGAAAATAAGGAACATAAAACAGACCTTAATTTCCTACATTGTTATAGTAATTAACTTCTTATTTCCAAATGAGTAGTCTATGCTGTTGGTTCCATGAATTGTGCTTTTAGCATAATATAGAATTTCCCCCATTTTAGTGTTTATACATTCATTACTTAAAAGAAAGGGAGAAATTGGCGAATAAAAGCCAGGGAAACTGGGTTTATTACCATTTTCCAATAGCACTAATGTATAGTCCCTTTAACCTTTCATATGGTGCTTTGTGTGATGAGAGTATATAACATTTATATATGTTATTAGTGCCTTATTTTTTTCACTTGGCTTTATTTCTAATCTAAAGAGCCATATATTTTTTGTGAGTGTTCCTTGGTCCCTCTATTTAAAGTCCTGATGAGACAGTGTATCTTTAGGAATGTATATAGGCTGCATTTGCTATCTTAATCCACTGTATTTGTAGAATTGCAGGTTAGCCAATGTATTTTTCTTAAATTCGTTGTTCATTTTTAAGCTAAAGTATAAAACATATTAAACAATCAATTGAAGCCATTATAATTGAAATATGTTTTTAAACCACAAAAGAAGAACAATGATTACTAAAATTTAAAACAGGAGTTGGAATGGCTGTCAGTCTTTGTATCTATAGCTCCAATTAGGACAAAACTATGAAAAGCATTAAAAAAGAAAAGTAATTATATGATACTTCAGGAATTTGAGCAGCTCTCTACAACTTGTCTTTGGAAATATGGTATCTGTAATCTACTTCCACACAGACGCTAAAGAACCATGGTTTTGCTATTTACATATAGTTATTCATTTACAGTGATCTGTATCAACATCAAAACATTTTGTACAATATGTTATTTTGTTCTTGGTCTTTGCCTTTTGTGTTAGCTTTATACAAAAAGTTATTTTTGTTGTATTCTTTATGTACCATAATATATAATTCAACTTTTCCTGATGAATGTATGATGAATAATTAAAATAAATCATGTGCTTAGAAAAGACAAAGACGCAGGCTGTATATGCAAATATGTGTAAATATTAGACAAAGAAAAAAAAAGAAAAATAATCTTCCTGCCAACAGATATGTCCTGCTGGACAGGACCTGGAAATTAATGGATTTTTTTTAAGCAGTGAAATTTAAAAATCTATTACCTCAAGAATTTTCAGTGGATATGTATCAGTGTACTGCTCCTTCTTATTAAATGCAGTCTCGCTTGCTGCCGGCAGTACAAGCAACCCAAGTATCAGATCCAACGAATTTTAGGGGCAAGTCTTTCAAAATAGATACCTTGAAATATTTTGGCGTCTAATTTTAGACTTTCAGTAATGTCCCTATGGCCTTCTGTTGTGATTGGGCTTTCTTTTTTATTGTTTTTGATTGGTGGTTTTAGAATGGAAGGCTAATCTTAATTATGAGATCAGATCTCACGGAAGGATATAATGACTCTCACTCTACTTGGATGAAAATATAATGGGAATCAACTATTTTGATTGTCACTGTATGAACTGTTGTATGGTTCCTGTGGAGTGCTGTTTACTCCCATGATGTGTGCAATACACCATGCAACATCATCTAGCAATGCCTAATAAAAGTTTTTAAAAGAGAAGAATCTTGTCTTTTTTTCTAACAGATTTGTAATTTAAAGGAATTAAAAGGTAAAATTTGACTGTCAAAATTACGTGTACATAAGTAAATTTAGAAAGGGTTATTGAAGTCATGTCTGCACTAGATTCTAAG